GCCTCAGGCGTTTCAACGTTCCCTAGAAACAAACAAACTTTATATCATATCTCAAATATTTGCTTTATCAGTAAGCCCTCGCGAAGCACTACAAGCGTTGAGTTAAAATGACCGACTAATCCTAATAAAACAGCAATACTATTTCAATGTCCGGGCGCTTGTTTTCAATTCAATGTCGAGCAACCAGAGTTGAAGTCCCGGTGCCGGCACCAATGAAATTGTTAATTAACAATTTTAAGTGCTGACTTATCACGTGCTCAGCAATGAAGGAAAACATTGTGAGGAAGCCCGCATATTTTCGAAATAAAAAAAAACACATTTCGAAGGTATAAGTGTGCTAAAAAATCCGTAATGAATATTCAATTATATTTAAAAAAAACCGTTATGAAATTCTATTAACTTAAGATTTAATATAAACACATGTTTACATTTAGTTCATTTTTTAATAATCATACCAGCTATAATACAAAAGTTTAATATATTCATATAAATGACAAAATTTAAGTGAGCCTTCTCACTTCACACCTCAAAAATGGTTTGGCTTATTGGAATAAGAAATGATGTACAATAAAATGTGAGCAGGAAGCATAAACAATTCAGGCTTAGAAATATGAGCATTATATTAACAATTTACTTAGGACGACCTTCATTAATTTAAAAGCACAACGTATCTTTGCAGAAGGCAGGTTATGAAAGTTCGAGGGGCTATTCGCTATCATATGGAGATCAGTTTCGTTCCCAGCGCCAGAGTGCCTACTTACAATACATATTCATTTCAGTGATCAGAGATAATTTTACGATTACAATGTACATTTTTTTCTTCATTTTAAATAATTTTTTAATATATTTATGTCATGCATGGTTAAAAGAAACAATTTTACGCTTTTATAGCGTTTTAATTAGATTTTAAATTCCCGACGTTACAAACCCTTTCCAGCGTTCATGGTCACGGGATAGACCGAGTTGTTTCACTTCTCAATGTCAATTATTTTATTCCGATCTATGCATTTTGTTACATTTAAGTTTTTACAAAACTACAGGGTGGACAAATCAACAAAAGTACAGAATATAACAATGGATGAAATGTCGCAGTAGCGATAATTTAAAAATTGAGCTAGGAAAAGAAATTATTATTACTTTCTTTTTAAGTAATAACATGGAAAGCGAACTGATTAAGAAGTTACTACGTTCTATGTTAAGTAACTACGTAAGCTCCTACCTTTTACATTAAATATTGTTTTAGGATCCCATGATAAGTGTTTGCAATTAAGATCGCCTATAATTAAAACGGATGAGAGAATGAGATTTATTCCCCGAGAAATAGGCTGGAAGCCTATAGCTGGTGTGGATTTATTTACCTTGGCGCAAAAATATCGAGCGGATTACAGTGCAATGACTTTTTGTTATACAGCGTGTCGTTACCATCGCGACAATAAATGAACACACGTCTAACGCTACTTGCCAATAATCATAAAAAATATTAACGTTAAACAAAATCCATAATTAAAAAAATATATTTTTCAAACAAACTAATTAAGTAAAAAAGAAACAAAATTTGTAACATCCTATACAACTCGCGCCAAAGCGTCGCATTACAAGCCTCTCCTTCTGACAGTATGTTTTATCTCTTTTAAATTCATTCAATCCATTCATATGCTTTATGACCTTTACAAATGAATTTTACGTTACAGTTTTATACGTAAGGGTGTTCTAAAATTGTTTGTTTTGGAAAATTTAATAACTCTGAAAATATTGATGTTTAAAGAATGTAAATGTTTAATACAATTTTAAAAAGTTATCCCCTATATGTGTGTTCATTTATTGTCGCTATTGTACAGATACGCTGTATATTAGAGTGCCTTTCAGACAGCTTGCTAGCCAGTCGTGGCGGACGATATCGTAATTGGCGTACGTAGGAGCGTACCTATATTCTAGCTATTAAGCTCTCTCGCGCTTGAAGAATATCAACATCACATTCGCGTAAAAAATCATAATTTCATCCTTCTGGACCATAATGCAGTTTGCATTGAAATACGAAAAAAACTGTTTTGATATAAACTTAAACATATCATCCTGATTATATTACATGCTGATTACTAAAACACTTATTTTATTCCTGCTTTAAAAATGTATTTATTTTTAAACCTTTTTGTTTAGCAACGTATCCGTTTTATGAATTACAGTCTCGACGCTTACCTGCGCTGTAATTACTAAGCGGCAGGTTACATTTTAATGTCCATTTACGGCAGGTTTTAATATTCTATCCATCTGTAGATTTGGTTACTAACGATAGGTATTTTGACATTAGCTCCATAATACTGAAGTCAAAATTCTATCTCCAGTAACCAGATCTAAAGATACGAATATTATAACCGGCCGTTAGAACTGTTACTCTCGTACAGAGGAGGCCTTTGCACAGCAGTGGGTGGGGACCTATATGGAATGTTCCTTTAATATGCATCATTTCACTTTAAGGTACTGGGATATAAGGTGTAATAAAAGACAAAATTTGATTTTATTTCAGGGTTTTATTTTAAATAGGGGTCTATTTATTACGTTACGACAATTATAATAACATACTATAGGCTTAAGCAATACTGAACAAAACAATAAAATTTACACATGAAAACGTTCAATATTTACGTTATTTGAATAAATTATTATATTATTTCGGTTCTCTTGCGACCCGGTAACAGATTCGATCGAATTAAACACATATTTACATTTTAAGAAAGAAATAAAAAATACAAATAAAATCGACGTTAATCTCAAGGACTAAGGTTCAAATTTAATCGATAGAAATCAATACAATACAAATCTTGTTATGTAAATATATCCAAAAAATTCACACTAACGCGTCCATATCAAATACATTACATAGATCCATAAAATCACTACACCATATAGTACAAGTTACATAGGTTTGGTTCAATTCCCATCCGAATGTTTGTCAATCATAACTGTATCACATTTTTGTTAACAAAGTCTACGGAAATAATTAAGAAGCGTTGCTATTGGAGCAATTGTTTGTTCCAACGTTGGAAGACAAATATGCTATAAATACAAACCGAGTGGTAAGAAGATTACTGTTGGGACAAAAATGATATTCAATCTTATCAATTCCGGACAAATATAGTGTGGGCCAGATATGTATACAAATTAGAACCTAATACATTTGAATTAAGTACGGTACTTTACAGTATATATCGGTGCCTTTAGTACGTATAAAACATGTGTAAATCCTTATAAGTATATATAAAAGTTAGATTGAAGGTTCATACCACATACATACATAGATAGACTGTAAAGTCATTATCCGTAAACTGTTCTAAACAAATTTTCATTTACATAATCTTATTTATCTTTAACGATACATCGAGACCCATATATTTGATTCCATTATCCACCAATCAATCGAGTAAAGTTATAGTAATTTTACGAGTACATTAATACATTCTATTGAAAAATTGTAATATTCAGTATTTTCAGTTTACGGTTTAACATAACCAGTCGAAGGTAGTAACTGCTCGTCCGTTAAAGTAATCTTATGTTTGCTGATAATTATAATCGAAACGGCAATATGATATATGTTAAATTCCAAAGTCCCACTGTTTTTTAATCTTATTGCTAAGTATAAAGTAAAAATTGGAGCAACGCCCAGTCTTCAAGCTCAGTCATTGAGTTTACTAATGAAATGTCATAAATTAGGCAAAACTTCATACAAAATGTTAAAAATGGCTACGATGTGTTCGTTGTTTATTCGCTATATATTTTAATTTGTAGAAACGTCAACACCTGGTATTTTTTGTGTTCAGTTTAGTTCCCAAGTAGAATTAGATTATGTTACCAAATCGTGTAATTTTAAAACAGTAACAAAAATTAAAAGTATCGTTGGGATAGATTTGAATACTCTCCTAGGAACGATACGAAATACAATTCTCGAATTGTTGTATGCATTTTTCTATCTAAATATCGGTAATAACATAGTTCCAATATCATTACTGTGACGGAACTTGTACTCACGAGTCTCCGGCGAATTTATCTTCTCTTAGAGAAACTCGGGGAAACTCATACCAATTGTTTAACAAATCGTGTGTCATAAATCCTATGATACAGTTCAAGTTCCTATAGCTTTGACTGTCGTCATACAAATCATTTATACGCAATTAGAATCCGGTACACCGAATGAGGCACACGCCGATCAGTGTATTTGTGTTTAGATGTGTTATTGCGTTTCGTTAACATCTCCCCCCTAAATATCATACATACTTAACTCTAGCTAAATCAATCCTGGTACGGGCTTACAAAAGCCCCTCAATACATCACTAGTATCAAATCAAACTGGGTACATGGTACATTTATTTATTTATTTATTTATTTATGTAGGAGTGCGTAAAGCCTCCCACGCCAACGCTGGCTGGGCTTCAAAACCTCATTTATAACGACTTACATCACAAATGTCACATCGAAATTCATACGGTCCAACACTACTATCCCGAAACACTAACGAACATCGATTCAATACGGTCAAATAAGCGGGCGATAATACCACCGCCCCTTATATCACTAGCGCAAACCCATACTGCGCTGGGTCTACAAAAGTCAACACTTCGCGTAAACGCTATCGAACACAATGCCATGCGATTAACACGACCGGGGGAGGCCCGTAATACCGCCGCCCCCGTTTACATCGCAAGCGCCCGCGAGCGTTTCAGCCGTTAGGCAAACGGGGGAGGTCGTAATACCGTTTACGTAAAAAGCTCCCCGTGATATCCCCGTATTAGTAACGCACGCGGGTGTCGAACTCGCCGCCGGATAGTTCATGTGGCGCGCGCGCGGGGGAGGGCGTAATACCACCGCCCCCGTTTACATCTGAAGCGCCCCCGGGCGTCCGCCGCATTATTCGACAGGGGGAGGTCGTAATACGGTTTACGTCGCAAGCGCCCCTCGATATCCCCGCATTAGTAACGCATTCGGGTGTCGAACTCACCACCGGGTCAGTTCTTGTGGCGCTCGCGCGACTCCTCGCGGCGGGCGGGCCTCGGGGGGGAGTCGCGGCCCTTGTGCGCCCTCGACGCCTTCCGCGACCTCTTGAACTTGGCCACGTCGTCGCCGAACACGTCGCCCGTGCGCAGGGCGGATATGAGGTCGTCGAACTCGCCCTTTTGGTGCGCCGCCGCGTCGCGCCCCCCCTCCCCGCCCGCCTGGCCGTTGCATTCGGGCCCCCCGTTCGCCTTCGCCAGCGACTTGCCGACGGAGCTGAGGAGGCTGGACGCCTGCTTGCGCTCCATCGTGCGCTTCTTTAGCTGTTGCGGGGTTATTGTTATTGTTATTGTTTTCATTCATCATCAGCTCGATCAATTCGGCTTTATAACGATTATATAAAATAAATAATTGTAACAGTTAAAAACAATTTCTCGCATCTTTTTAATTTTAAGAGTTCTTTTTTTAATTTTGAGCTTGCATACTTAAGAAGGTTAGTCTGATTATGTATTAGTCGCCGAGAACCAGGATGTTACATCACGTAACAATAAGAGAATGATGATTTCATCATTCTAGGTAGAAAATGGCCATCCCTTGGCTTTAGGATTCTAAAGATTCGCTATTTTGAATTCGGTATCATCAACAATACAACAAAGAACATTAAATTCAATTTCTAATTATCTACTATTTACGGTACCTTTAGCACTAGGGGCACTAACGTCACTTACGGGGTGGCCCCTAGCGACATCAACTCAAATGTCATTATCATCACAACTGATGGCCCGTATCATCAAAAACGACATCAAAGGACTGTGGTAGCGCTACGCAACAGCATCGGCCGTTGCACGAATAGGCAGTTCCGTCTGGGTAAGTTACACGACCTCACAAAAGACCGGCATGAAGTGCAAGTGTTATACTTCTGCATTTCTGTAATCTACGGCGGTCATCACTTAACATTAGGTGAACCGCCAGTTCGCTTGCCACCTTCTCATATAAAAACAATATCATATCAAAAAATAAAATATCATATAAAAAAATGTCATCAATAGATGCACGCAAAAGTATGTGAAGGTGTGATGATAATCGGGCATCGTCGTGGCACTGTGAACGCCATCGGCGCTGACGCCACCAAAGGAACCAAGAAGGCTAAATGCACCAAATGCACTAATTGCACAAAATGCACTAATTGCACCAAATGCAGTAATAGCACCAAATGCACTAATAGCAGAAAATGCACTAATTGCACAAAATGCACTAATTGCACCAAATGCACTAATAGCACCAAATGCACTAATAGCAGAAAATGCACTAATTGCACAAAATGCACTCAGAGCACCAAGCGCACTGAGAGCACCGCGGGTGAGTCGCTCACCTCCTGCTCGTGCCTGGTGCGGCGCTCCTCGTCGTCGCGGCGCCTCCTGGCGGCGTCGCACTCGGCGCGCGCCTCCGCCAGCTGCGCGAGGAAGGCGTCCATCGCGCCGAACAGCTGCTCGGGCGAGGCGCTCGCCTCCTCGCCGAACGCGTGCGCGCACGCCTCCAGGCGGCTCTTCATGTCCTGCGAACGTTCCAGAACGTGAGTGCTCGAGTCGCGGCGATTGCTCACGCGAATCAAGTCAAGACTCGGCAGCGCAGCTGCTAAACTCGGTATCGGCCGGACGCCGGGAGACACGAGGAGCATAAATTAGAGATAAAACGGAATATAGTTGATTAGCTCTTTAAAAAAATATATATTTACTGTCGAATACTTACTACATAAACTACTTCATCGTCAGACAGACTCCGCGCTGATAATGTTTGCCCCCACCACCACTGAATCCACCATTGATCATCCACATGATATTATATACAAAGATATGACACTAGCGGATGATTGCAATTCTGTACACCGCTATCTCTTTCCATATCGTACGTTATACATCTGTCACATTGACTTATAATTATGGCATACAACGTAAAGCGGAACAAATTTTAAACGCCGCGCAGTGTGGACATGCGTCATCTACGTCATCAAACACAATTGCCGCCCACCTGAAACAGGTCCTCGAGCTGGGTGAACGAGCAGACCGCGTGCGCGTGGAAGTCGCGCATGACGGGCACGAACGCGTCGTGCGCCGCTGCCGCTCTGCCGGCGTGCCACTCGAGCTCGCGCGCGACCTCGCGCAGCCCGCCGCGAAGCGCGGCAACGTCGCGCTCCAGCTGCTCCACGCACACCTTGGCGGCGGCGCGCACGTGCGGCAGGTCCTCCTCGAGCAGCAGCACGTCGCGGAACTGCGCCGAGCGAAAATGGACTTAAGCTCCAACGCTATAGAGCACGCGCTCTTTTGTTGTTGCAGCGATACTACGCCAAGCGAAAATAGATCTATCACCATAGTTGAAGAGTGCTCGCTCGTTTCGTTCAGAACTGCGACATACGAAAATAGACCTTAGTTCTATCGATATAGACTACACGCTTTTTTCTTTCCGTTCTTTCGGAACTGCGCTAAGCGAAAATGAACCTTAGCGACATCGTTATAGAGCACTCGCTCTTTTTTTTCCGTTCCCGCGGCACAGCGCTAAGCGAAAATTGACCTTACCGTGATCGGTTTAGAGCTTTTTTTCCGGTCCGAAAAGAGCGAGGCACCTTCGTAAAAAGGCTCATGAACAATTTTAATAACTGAAAATGAATACTTATTAGAAAGACGGATCCGGACACAGACTGCAGTAATAATAATTCTTTTATAAAATTAAAGCGCATACCTGTGTCTCCAGCATCTCCACTAGGAAGTGGAGCAGGGTGGTGTTCCGCGTGACGCTGGATTTGGTATCGGCCAATTTGTTCAGCGAAGTCAGCCTGAATCCTGATGCATTGCCACGGGCACCCCTGGGGAGGAGGGAGGGTATATATTACTACTAAGTAAATTGCAACTATATATTATTCTGCAAGTTCTTATGCGTGGTCAGAATTGTATACTTTATGCGAGTGCATCTTCGTTTATGTGTTGTGTGTGTACTTGTACTATGGGTACTAGTTAACTGATAAACATACTTAAACGTACTTTTTTATTGTAAGTAAATACATAATATAGACATACACTACATATAACCACACGCAGTCAATGGAAAACACTGTGTTGGTGACACAATACTTTTCCAGTGGCAGGCGATCGAACCATATTCTCAGACGCAAGAGACAACAGTCTCGTCTGTTGCACGAACGGGCAAGTCCGTCCGGGTAAGTACAACGACAACAGAAACAACAGAAAACACGTCGGTTTTCTGGGGTTTTTGCGTTTCGTCTGGTGAGTTAGGTAGGCGGGGCCCTACTGGTATTGAAATTGTCAATGGGCGGCAGTTATTTCTTAACATCAGGTCAACCACCAGCTCGCTCGAGTTGTTTTTACATAAAAAAAACAAAGGGCTCTCTCAGTGCGTCCCAGCGTTACTAAGTCAGCCCGAAAGTATATATATGAAAATATTTCCTACCTTACTTTCTTACGGCGCTTTGTGTAGGCACCGAGGATGTTGACCATCAGGTGAACCGCCGGCTCGTTAGCCCCTTTCTCACACTATAAAAGACAATGTACTACGCCAAATATACACACGGTGGGACTCACCGGTTCATGTAGTTGCCGAGCGCCAGGACTATCTCCAGCAGCGCCCGGAGCCTTCTAGAGCGGGTCATGTCCCTCGCGGCCCTGAGCACCACCGACGCGCGGTTGGTCGCTTCAGCGGCGGCGCCGGCGAACTTCTTCTTGAACAGCAGGGTGCGCACGCGCTGCGAGTAGTGCGGTATCCTGCGGAAGAGAGGGGGAAGAGTAGAATGGTAGAAGAGAAAATAATAGAGGAGTGGAACGGAGTCCTGCAGAAGAGAGAGGGAGAAGAAGAGTAGAATGGTGTCGTGCGGTAGAGAAAATAAGAGAAGGGTAGATTGTGCATGTGATAAGCACTTAATAACTAACATTTCATTGGTGTCGGCTCCGGGGAGGAGCTAGAGTATAATTAAATAAAAGCGAGCACCCGGACAATGAGCTATCACGCGCAGACAGAAGATCTCTAAACAAACTGACGGTTTACAGAATAGCCGATACATCACGTTGCACTGTACAACCATGTTTTTTTTTTACAAATAAAGGGTTACTATACGCCTCGTATGTTTTTTTCTCGTCTGAGCGGGTTTATAAATAAAAATAAACATATAGATACATATAGGCATTACATATAAGACCCAACCAGACGGAAGCCCTCGGCAGGAGAGACCATAACGTGGTATTATTATTACGAGGCGCTAAAACTCACTTGGAGATCTCGTACAGGAACCGGTCTGCGCGCGCCATGCTGTCCAGCTCATCCTGGTGCTCCTCGAGCAGTGCTGCCTCCTCCGCGCTCGGAGTGAACTTCAGCAGTTGCTCCACCATGTCGATGGGCAGCTGTTCGTCCTTGTCCATCTTCAGGATCGCCCTGCAAGAAGAGTTCTCTCAAAGTTGAAGTCTTAAAGTGGTAGGGCCACGCAACAGGCTTCATTGAGTTCTTGCTGTGTACAGCAAAACTAGCGACTTTTATCGTACACGGTTAATGTTAGCTTTGTAAAGTTGGTAAACTTACCGGCATATCTCCTCGTCGGTCATCTTGAGCTTGGAAAGTAGGATGGTGCAGTTCTGGGCGCGTCGGCCGTCTATCACGGTGAGGATCTTGGTGCGGGGCTTCGAGCCCAACTGTCTCAGGTCCTCAACGGAACCCTCGTTCTGAAAGTACAAAACTCCTCGAGAAAAAGGCACATTGAAATCGTTTGAAATGGTATTGCGTAGGGAACCCTAGTTCTGGAAGTACATAACTCCTCGAGAAAAAGGCACATTGAAAACGTTTGAAATGGTATTGCGTAGGGAACCCTAGTTCTGTAAGTACAAAACTCCTCGAGAAAAAGGCACATTGAAAACGTTTGAAATGGTATTGCGTAGGGAACCCTAGTTCTCGAAGTACAAAACTCCTCGAGAAAAAGGCACATTGACGCTTGAAATGTAATGGCGTAGTGCTGGCACGGAAGAATTTAAACTTCCGTTTTCGCAAATCGTGACAAAAAATTCACTAAGTATAACAAGATACATGATGGGCGCTAAGAAGGGGGCGGCTGGGGGCTTACTACATCGGCTGGGGGCCTGGGGCGGCCAAGACAACAAATCCGCCACTGACTCCAGTCTTAGGTATACGAGAATGGTGAAAGAACCCACCTGGACACCGTTCTTCTGGTACGCGCAGAACATCCTGTCTATCGAGTGCAGGTCTATCGCCGAGTAGAGCCTGCTGTCGTCCAGCTCCTGCCATATGGTGCCGTGCAGCTTGGCGTCTGGCAGCTTGCTCCAGTTGAAGCTCTTCAGCGGGTTGCCGGGGGTGGGCACGTGCTTCTTGGGGCGGGGGGCGGGCGCGGGGGGAGCGGGAAGGGGCGCGGAGGGCGGAGGGGGCGCCGGGGGGGCGGGCGGGGGGCGGATCGACGGCGGCGGCGGAGGGGGCGGGGCCGAGCAGGACTCTATCACCGCGCTCTTCAGGTTGCTCACCTGCGGAAGCGGTAAGCTATCTCACTCGCACTACTTTTCGTTTCAAGACACCGCAACGTTCAGATAACTTATTAATGCCACCTGAAATCTGATTTCAGTTGTCGTTAATCCGATTTCAGGCGTGTTATGCAGCGTATTTGATAAGGCGCGGATGTGTCCTTGAAACCGACGTGTATGACACCGACACGCCTTACATAACGTCGAACACTCGCTGCTCGCGAGGTACAAGGGAGCAGGACGCCGTATGTTGCGCTCTCTCGCACTTACGGGTCTTACGGAGAGGTCACATGGTGCGTCACTATGCCTCCACTTAAGACCCGTAAGTGCGACAGAGAGAGCAACAGGCGGTGTACTGCTTCGCCGTTTTATTACCCCACGGGCAGTGAGTGTTTGCCATTTGTATACACTACACATTTTGAATTTTCTTTTGTACTATTTCGTAGCTTTGTACTTGCTTAGTGACTATGAATCAGGTGTACTGTTCAAATTACACGCGGCTAACAGTTGTAAAAAAATAAAAGTGAATGTAAACAATTGAAAACATAATGTTTATTGTATACTTAAAGTCGATCAATATTCTAGGCAATGTCGGAATCATTTAAAATAACAAAAAAGCCTTGAGATAATGCTAGTAAAGATCTTAAAAGAAAACTGTTGGTCAGTATTTGCTAAATGATTAACTGACCAGTTTTCTTAAAACTTCAATTTTATGAAAACGTTAAAAACTATTTACCTTAGCATCGTCGGGTATGCTGCCCTCACTGACTAGTTTCTCGAACCTCGCCCGTTCCGCTCTCTCGTGGCTCAGCTGCGAATTCAATTGGGGAATCAGTTAAGAGACGCCAAAAAATATCACAAACAGATTTTTTTTGATAATATTTACGGATTTAATTTTCAATCGGTCTCCCCCTTCCTGTCTATTTTTTTTGTTTCAGATAATATAATATTAACAGATACAATCAACCTGATTATAAGTATATATAAACAGACCACAGAAGTCGTCAAACAGTGGATATCGGACAAAACACATCATACAGAAGAAGTCATACTTAGTCGTTTCACAGTTTTTATGGCGAAAAGTTGCCAAACTACCGTAAGGACTTTCAACCCCTGAAGGGTAGAATAGTGTTGCCAACATTTAAAACAGTGGGCCCTGGTAAACAGAGCAGACGAAACGCAAAAGGACAGTACTTCGCTGGACGAGCTTGCCTATTCATGCAACAAGATTCAACATTCTGCCCTACCACAGTTAAAACCAAGGCTTACCAATAGCGTGCTACAAAAGGCCTTGCAGACGGCTCTTACTGACGTTCTATAGAAGATGTACTTTAGAGGACACCTGACAGAAGACGCCACACAGAAAGATTTGCAGCCGGCTTTTGAAGAAGGTATAAAGAGGATGTACTTAAGAGGACACCTGACAGAAGACGCCACACAGAAAGATTTGCAGCCGGCTTTTGCAGAAGTTATAAAGAAGATGTACTTAAGAAGACACCTGACAGAAGACGCCACACAGAAAGATTTGCAGACGGCTTTTGCAGAAGTTATAAAGAAGATGTACTTAAGAGGACACCTGACAGAAAATGCCACACAGAAAGATTTGCAGACGGCTTTTGCAGAAGTTATAAAGAAGATGTACTTAAGAGGACACCTGACAGAAGACGCCACACAGAAAGATTTGCAGACGGCTTTTGCAGAAGTTATAAAGAAGATGTACTTAAGAGGACACCTGACAGAAAATGCCACACAGAAAGATTTGCAGACGGCTTTTGCAGAAGTTATAAAGAAGATGTACTTAAGAGGACACCTGACAGAAAATGCCACACAGAAAGATTTGCAGACAGCTCTTGCAGACGTTCTAAAGAAGAAGTTTTACAAAAGATGTACTTTACAGGATGCCTGGAAGAAAACACCACAAAGAAAGCGTCTCACAGATCTCTTTACCACTCTGGCGCATTCATCCCACCTGCTGGTCAAGCTGGTGCGCCCTCTCGGTGCACTCCATGTGCGCCGCAGTCTCCCTCTCCAGCCTCTCCTTCAGTCTCTTCACGACTCCCTCCAACTCCTCCTTCTCTTGCGACCGCTCGTCGACTTGTTTCTCCTGTCGGTTAGCGTTAAACATGCGAATGCGGCGGTGGAGGGGGGTGAGTGTCGTCACATGTAACTTTGCCATTGATACCTCACGTTTTATACTAATTCACCGTTACGTACAAGAATGTTTAACTTTGGTTAATTTTTAAATTATACCTAATTAAAAAGTTCACTCTGGTACTTACAACTCCTTGTATTAATTATATTAAATACGTTTGGTAATGGAACTCAAGACTCGTAGTGTCAGTTTAAATTTGTTAAAAGGCAAAGTTACAAGTTCTGATGAGGTTATTGCGAATATTATGTATTAATTATGTTATTAATGTGAGAGTATGGTCATTTGTATGGTTTTTGTAACATTTTAACTATATATTTATTTAGTGAACACTGCGACAGTCGTTGCAATATTAAATTTTTAAACTTCAATATTGTACTTAATAAAAACGATTTCTTTTATAAAATCAACTTCAAAATAGTCTTTAAGTGAAATACCATAATACTTCTTAATATTTTTCGCCCGATAAGAATTGGAGAAAGATTTTATATAGATTAAAAAATTCAACATCGAATGCTTCAAAATAACGTTAGCCAAGTTTATTTTCAACCAAAATGTCAATTATATGAAGAATACGATGTGGTTTTAATATTTTATACGATTACCGTTTTAGAAAACGTTCCGTTTCAAAAAATTTAAAACCTCAATAAGAAAGACGACATCTAATACTATTAATAAGGCATTAAATGGAAGTGAAGAATGGAAGTGAATGTAGTTATGACCGTATCCATATATTAAAATAGTATAATCATACTATCTTCAGATTTATTTTATTATTAAAATATAGCATTAGATTCTAAAGCGTATTATTTCGTAGGTACATTGTAGTGATGCAACAGAGGCGACTAAACGGAAGCAGAAATAGAAACAGAAATAAAAATAAAACCTGAGCCGAATAGGAAACAGAAATTGATCCGAAAACGGAGTTTTGGTTTTTGATTAAATTATTTTTTCATCTAATTCTAATTATTAAGTTAAGTAAGGTAATTTCATTCCAGGAAGTTTGGTAACTTCCATACCTACCCAGCGAGCTTCTTGAACTGTTCTTCAAAATAAAAATAAATCAAAATGATTTTTTAATAAACTATTTTTTTTTAATAAAACTTGAAGAATTAATTAATAAATTATCGTTTAAAAGTTGCGGAAACAGAAGCAGAGGTCTGTTGCATCACTAGTACACGGCCACCTCGACAGAGTTACTGACCGACACCTTGCGGTTTTCTCTATAAATTCGGTTGCTTTTTTTTTTTAAACATAGATTACCTTCTTCGCCAACTCCGTGGCCAGGTCTACGTTCTCCCTCTCGAGGTTCTCCGCTTTCGTCCTGGCTGCGACTAGTTCCTCCTCCTTAGCCAGCAGGTGGACTATCTCGCCGACGTTGATCTCCAAAGGCGCTATGTCGGGGTCGTAGACCTGCGTTCGAATCGTTCAACCGTAGTAAACATCACGTAAAGCGAACAAACACTTAAAATGTTTGAATGAAACATTTTTCTATTCGTTGTTATATATTCACGATATAGCGACTGGTCTATTTAGTAAGACTCAAGAAATTAAGAAAGTTCGATAGTGAGAGTTAAAATTCCATTGACATGAGAATCGTCAAAATCGGCGCATACGTTAGGTCTCTGGAGCGCCACAAAGGAGACGTACATACACAGGCCTATAAACACATTACCCTCCTTTGCGTCGCGCAGTCGGGTAAAAAAGCGCAAAACTTTTTTGATTCTACTCAAACATGGAATTTCAATCATAATCGTTCAGAAAGCATTTAACTAAATTAATATGGATTGCTTTATGGAGATCAGATTTTACGCTATACGTTATTTCTGCTGTCACAATAGGTTCCCAACATGGGTTAAATGAGGATAAGCTTTTGAGGTCGTAAAGACAATAAATAGTTTTATATTGTGAATTTAAATATTGGAATAAATTAAAAAAAGTGAAAAACTTAACTCCCATACTTTCGTGATCATACCTTTGCAGTGTTAACACGCGTCGGTATGTCTCTTTCATTAAGCAAAAGACCTACTTGACAAACAGTAAGTATATTAGACTCAATGTCTTCAGGCGAAAATGTATCGAAAACCCTCGTGCATAGGGTCGAATTTACTTCTGGCACACACCTTGGTATTGTCGGACGCGTCGTCCTTGAGGCTGCCCTGGTCGGACGCGGCGCGGCTGCCGGCCGACGCCTGCTGCAGCACCAGCTGTTGGACCACGCGGTCCAGGAGCAGCCAGTGCTGCGAGTGCGGGTTGTATTCCACTGTGGACGTAACGAGAGTTAAGCGAACGATTCTTCGAAGTGAAGTTAGGCGGATGAAATCTCGTGATGTAATCTATGGTTCTTCTTCGAAGTGAAGTTAGCCAGGTGAAATCTCGGAATAGAATCGCTTTATGATAAACGTCAAGTTATTTCTATAATGTATCCACATACAGAGATCGGGTCAAAGAAAGTTTTTAGTGAATCGCCGCGAATTTCAGGTGCAATATTAGGTACTATAAAAAATGTTGGAAATTCCCATTTGAAAAGACAAACTAAAGTTAGACTACAAGTTTCTTTAATGGCGAACAAAAGTTCTTGTCTAAGAAGTAATATTGCATCACAAATACCTTTCAAGACGATTTATAAAAACACCTTTTTATAATTAGGGGCACGATGAAGTGATGTTATCACAAGCGAGAGGAGACCGTATCACGCTAAAAGAAAGTTTTGATAAAAAAAACTAGGCGTAGATCGCACAAATGGTGCTAAAGGGAGTGCAGGGTTATTTTTTTAAAATTTGGGGAGTGCAGTGTTGTCACTCAAGTGTAAGCCGCAGCACAGGGTTGTCAAGCGTCTACAGTTGAAGGGGCATGTAAGTACTCTGCATGCCTGTCGAGCGGTTTGAGGGAAGGGAAAATAGGGTTGTCACTCAGGTGGCAGCTACGACAAGTGATGCGGGATAGTCTAATGTCATCTACTACGGCTACATTCTAATAGTAGTTTGTAGTCGACCATGCGGGCCCATGCGGGTATGCATGAGGGTAGTATAGTTATCACTATCGTAGCAATAACTATATGTGCCATATATGTGGGATGCTCTAATTTAGTTAGGACTGTCAAGAGTTTATGCTGTACAATTGGAATTTAGGGAACTATATTCACACGGCATGCATGAGGTATGGTCGAATTTAAGTTATGGCTCTCCAGCGTTCAAGCAGTAGAAGGGGAAGATAGGGTTGTCACTAACACGTGCCGCGAGACGATCTTATTTAACTAGGGCTGCTGACCGTTCAAGCTCTTGAGGGGGGAGGGGGGCGTAGGGTAGTCACTAAAATGGCCCGCGGTCGAATTCAGCTAGGCTAGGCTTGGTCGACAAGCCGTTGAAGCGACTAACGGGGTTGTCACTGACCCGGCGGCAGCTACACGCCCCGCGGTACATTCGACCCCAGCTAAGGCTGTCGACCAAGCCGTTGAAGGGGAGAACAGGGTTGCCACTGACCCGGCGGCAGCTACACGCCCCGCGGTACATTCGACCTCAGCTAAGGCTGTCGACCAAGCCGTTGAAGCGATGAACGGGGTTGTCACTGACCTGGCGGCAGCTACACGCGCTGCGGCACAGTCGAACTAAGCTAGGGCTGTCGACCAAGCCGTTTAAGGAGAGAACAGGGTTGTCACTCACGCGGCAGCAGCAGCATGTGCTGCAGCAGCGACAGCAGGTGCGGGTAGGCGGCCGTGTGGCTGAGCTTGCGGCGCAGCAGCTCGAACATGGCGGCGGCGCTCTTCGTGTCCACGTGCTGCCGGTCGAAGCGGCGCGCCAGCTCGCGCTCGTCCTCGCCGCGGACCATCTCGAAGAAGCCGATGTGCCGGTCGAGCGTCTCGTTCTCGTACTTGCGCAGCTTCTCGATCACTGCACGAGCGGGGACGGTTAGAGAGGTTGAGTGTGGATTCCGATGACTCCTTGGCTTCGGCGTCCGGGGTCGTGGGTTCGATTCCCACACGGGACAACTGTTTAAGTGACCCGCAGATAGTTGTTTCGCATCTGGGTGTTTGTCGACGTGAAATATACAGAGTGATTTTATAGACGACGGATATATTAACAGAGCATATGCAGAATTTGATTCTAAATCTGAATCTGATACGTACTTAAGACCTCATTTTTTATTTTTTACAAAGATAATTTTTAATTTCTTTCAAACATTATGGACACCCTAATAGAAATTCCCGCCTTACTGTCTCAATACAATAACCTATTCACGAGCACGAACGCATAATTACTAAACGGCTTATCAATAGGGTGACCACTCTTAACGGTACAAACAAACAGTGTTTGAATTGATATTTTTCTGGTTACTTCTTGTCAAAATAAAATACTAATATATTTTTTTTTAGAATTATGGAATGCTCAATTAACATTATGTGAAATTGTACTCCGTCTAAAAAAACAGCCTGTATATTGCATAGAGTATTTTTGACTTCGAACGCTCACCGGGCTGTATCCCCAGCATGAGGAGCTCGTATCTCAAGTGCAGGCGGAACTCGAGGCTGTCCTCGCCGGGCCCGTAGTTCAGGACAGCGTTGACGAAGGACATGATGGCCGTCTTGAGGCCCAGGTCGTCCCTGTAGGCGCCCGTGCAGCGGTCCAGCTCGTTCACCACGCCCTGGAAGCGGGCGCGCTCGCCCGCGTACTTCTGGTAGTGGACCATCGCCTCCAGAACCTGGAACGGTTGAATAATAGACGGTTTTATTTGTACAATACGATCCAAATGACTGTTAGTAAATTTTTAGTTGTGTTAAATTTTTCACACACTAGTTTGTAGATATTACCTTATTTTAATTAGGTTATAAATTTATTTTAAGAAAGCTGTGTCCACCTGTAATTGTTGGAACATTTACGGCTTATTTTTTTTAAACTTTTATAGTTGTTTTGCATGCTTAATGTGTCCAATATTGGTGAAACTTAATAAATAAATAAATAAATCATTAACCATCGAAGTAAGAAATATAACGTTTCATCTATCGATAGTCGTTTTTTTAATCTGCCAACGTTTCGTAGTGAGGTTCCTCTAACGGAGAAGGAACAGGCGAAAGAAACTCCGTAGGTTTCCACTTTTTTGTCAATTTTTTCCTATACATTTTTTAGGAACAGCTTGGGAGCAATTTCGGCTTACTGTACCGCCGTATAGCCTTCGATCTGAATTTAATACATTTTAAACATGTTTTATTTCTATTTTTTGTCAAACTATGTTAAAAAAATGTCCCGCCGGTTCTTCTGTAGCTTTTTCCGAACCGGTAGTAGTGTTTTTGGACAATTAATAACTAACTTTTATATTGAATAAAGATATATGAATTTGAATATGGCCACATCAGCTCTTACACGACGACTTAAGATGGGAAGCAGTATGGTCTGCCAAAAGACCAACGTCAAAAAGAGACCGAAGTAAGCATGCTTCTGCTGTTATATGAATAAGTCGACCAGTTCTGGGACTTCCGATGTGCAGAGACTGCAGAAGCCCACGAGAAATGTGGATATCACCATTGCCTTATGATGATAAGGTGACCCAATAAAGAAATTGATCAGCCTATAACAGACGTTGAAATGCTACGGGTACTGAAATGTTACACGTAACGGTTACCTGACAGTTGTGTAATGCTGTCTTAAAAAGATAAAAACATGTTGTCTTTTTTTGTGATTCAATATTATTCAAAGTGAAAAATTGGCTGCTAAACATTGCTATAAAGTTGATGCAGGCAAATGTCAGTTTTCTTTTATTGTTTTAATTTTTATATTCAACATCATCATCAGCCTGCTTGACTCCACTACTGAACCATAGGCCTTCCCCCACAGATTGCCACGAAGGTTGGAGAAAACGCATTCCAAATCGGAAGGCTCTCACGCGCGTTACCTTCTTGTGACCGCCGGGCACGAGGCACACAGCGCCCAGGATCTCCAGGGCTGCCACCTTGGTCTTCACGTTCTCCGTGTCCAGGGATTGGGCGATCAGGTCGATGCTAGTGGGATGCGCAAGCACGTGCGCTCGGCCGGTCTGCCAACGCACCAGAGACGTCACACACACGTAGCAATATCGAGAGTACATGCGACTATTGATTGATCATCTTTTTCTATGGCTTAACACGGCTTTCAAGACTGCATTTCATATAGTAATGGAATTAAAATAAGTAGACAAATGTTATAAAGCGCACCAAAATTCCCAAGGCAGAGATGGCAGTGCTAAAAATATTTTAAGTTTAGAAAGCTTTTTTCCACGACTCCCAAAAATGTGTCACAGAAACTATTCCCAGGTAATGAAATGCATAAGACGTGAGTTGTTGCAGATAGATAACTAGAATAGTTTACAGTAAAACAACTAAAATATAGCATTTAATGAATACAACATAAGAATGACTACAGTATTTTTTTTTTTTTTTTTTTTTTTATGTCAAAAGTTGCCAAACGAGCAGACGGTTCACCTGATGGTAAGTGAATACCGCCGCCCATGGACATCTGCTACACCCGAGGGTTACAGATGTGTTGACGACTTTTGAAAATTGGGCTCCGGCTACTCACTCCCAGACGAAACGCGAAAGTATTTTTCATACTTCCACTTTACGCTGGTCTTTTGTGAGGTCGTGGTACCCACCCGGACGGGCCTGCCCATTCGTGCAACAGCCGAGGCTGCTCCGTGGCCCTACCACCGTTATGTCTTCAAGTTCGCAGTGGTCGCTACGGTGGATGTGGTCAAATACTGATCCAACGAGATCTAAATAGCAATTTTACTCAAAAATATAAATATAATATAATATAATCAATCCCTTCCATACAATCAGACATAACATGTATCAAATATCAAGGAAGCACTTACGGAGTTGTTCATGAGGGCCTTAATGGCAGCGATGAGATTGTGCCTGGTCAAAGCGTCGTCCCTTGGGGCACGCTGCAAGGCCTCCAGTAGGGCGGTGAGCCCACCCTGTTTGATGAAACGTAGAACGAAACTGTGCGCCCTGGTGCGGAGGGCGGTCTTCAAACCGTCCACCAAGGCGCACGCCTCTGCTGGCAGCACGCCTTCGGTTGCGGAAAAGGCCTGGAACCATAACGGAATCAAGTTTATACCTACGTTATATTGTAATCTGATCTTTTTTAAAAAGAGCAATTGTTGAGTTTCTTGCCGGTCCCTTCTCAACGGAAAGTGCCTTAGGCACTGGTGGTAGCTTATTTACGAACTTATGTATCAATTGTTATGTAAAACTCGACATTTCATAAGAATGCGCAGGCGTCTATTTGAATAAAGATGTTTTGAATGTGAATTTTGTACGATTAGTGATTGATTTTATGTACGAATAATATGGGTATCGATTACTGTTTTCTGACAAATACCAATTCCATTCTATTCCAAAGACAATCATGATCATTTTAAAGGTCTGTATGCTCAGCTCACCTCGGCGATTTCTCCAAGTGCCTTGATGTACTCCTCGACCTGTGGCGCGGTGGCCAACGGCGGGGCGCCTGGTGGCGGTCGACGGCTGCAGTAGATCTGCCATTTCTTCGCGGCCGGCAGGTCCATCATGGCCGCTTTGTTCACGGCCGTCAGGTCCAGTTCCTCCTGCGAATTGAATCGTACGGGTTAACATCGTTATTTTTCACAGAGCAGAATTTGCCGCATCTCGCATATACGCTACCTTCATTCGAATCTTGCCAACTAGTTATTGCGATATAAAAGATAAACTTATACAAATAGTTCTATACGTATTAGGTTACTAAATCACTACATAGTATAAAACAAAGTCGTTCCGCTATTTGTCTGTCCATATGTATGCTTAGATCTTTAAAACTACGCAACGGATCTTGATGCGGTCTTTTTTACTAGATAGAGTGATTCAAGAGGAAGGTTTATATGTATTATACATTACACCCGTGCGAAACCGGGGCGAGTCGCTAGTTAATCGTAATTCCAAATCAAAATTCTCTTTTAAGTACGCTTCGTTTCACAGTAATATTAGGCACTAAATAACCTATTGCAAAATTATTACGACTGAGGAAAAATATGCAACACTACATTCAAATTTAGACAAAAAACGGAGTAATTAATCATCTTTATTAGCTGTTTTGACTTAAATGCAATCGGCATCTAATGCTTGCTTACCCAAATAGAGCAGTCCTTGAAACCGTTTACCCAAATTCTTAACTTGCGAAACGTACAAATCGGAATGTTAATTCGGTCTAAAAAAAAAGGCAAAAACAATCTGGCTTCAGAATTCAACACCTTAAAACGTATCCAGATCAAAGGTCCCAATTAAGCCGCTGGGTCAGATCGAGTTTTAAAGTGTTACCATATAGGGGATCAATCGGAAATGGTAAGCAATCCGGACGCCACGGAGAAAAAAGGTATCTCAAGGTGACGCGCGTCAATGGAAATAAACCACAATAATACCATAATGGATACAAGCTTATTCATCGCGTACCTAACTGACAGATCCTACCTAACTGGTTTTTATCTTCTTCTTTTTCAAAAAAATATATGTGCGTAGTTGTGTACGCAAGAAGTTATAATTTCTTTGGCGTAACAAAGAAATGACAAAAAACTTTATCCCCTGTGCCATACATTACTCTTTATTTGTGAAGGCATTAAATTCAATTCTCTCTCTCTCTCTCTCTCTATTATTCCCACACGGTAGTGGGTTCTGCCTGGCTGTCGGTTGTTGTCGGTTTGCGCGCGCATCGTAAAAATATTACAGTCATAATTTTAACAAAGCACACAGAAAGAAGTATAACTGCGCCTATGTTGTCAACGTTGCTCACTCAACACCTAAATTGGAGCACGACATTGAATGAAAACCGCGCTGATATTTCCGCATGATTTCTCGGAGCATTCTTCGACACTTGCACAATACGACATGGATTTTTCTCATTCTCGACACTCGTTCCATATATTTTTAAACTATATTTAAAGTTTGCCTTTATATTTTTTTGTTTCCATATATTGTTTTTTTTTTTGTTGTAATAATTATTAATATTCTTTGTATTAAACCCATCAATCTTATTCCACATTTCACATTGATCCATTACAAACTTACGTATTAATAATATGTAACCATTTTTATATACACGTAAAACAAATACTTAAGAATTTCCTAAAATACATTTATTTCTATTTACTCTACTTCTAACTTACGTAATTCGAAAACATTTTCATGTTCTAAAACTTCAATGCCGCATCTCAGTTTTATTGAACTATATTGAAATCAATTTTACATCAGTACCGCGCTAGAAGGAGACCGGACACTGAGCTATCACGGCTCACTGAGCGAGCTATCGAGAGTATGTACGTATGTATAATTGTTTGGCACGCTCTGCAGCCTGAACGGCTTGATGAATTTTAGCTTGAGAGGTGTCGTTAGATTCGTATTTACTGTGAGAGTGACACTGGGTACACCAAAATAAATAAATACAAAGAAACGCAGTCGGGTTTTTTAAATTATATTCTACTTTTTTTTTAATCACTCGATTCCAAACAAACGGAATTAGACAGTTTATATGTTTATACTGATCCCGGAGCTACATTTGCACCGACACGTTTATTCTGCAATAGTAGGCGCGAACGTTGCGCACCGTAATTGCGACGGTTTTTGCCAATATCAGAAATCGGATTTATTGGTATTTACCAATAGTGAAGGTCGATACATTTCTCTCTTTACTTCTATTACTAACAAACTGGAGAGGACTTATCGGCCCACAAATACAAAAATCAACTACACACCACTAAGCCATCTTAAAGAAACACTGTATAAAATATACAGTATAAATATAAAATATGCAATTAAAAAAAACACTGTATATTTTATAGTGTTTCAACGTTTAACAATCTCAACCTAATCTATTCTACATATTTGTCAAATAGTTTACAATATATTCCTCCAATCTTACCCTCGCAAAAGGCCAGCGTGAAGTGGAAGTATTATACTTTCACGGTTTCATCTGATGAACTCACGCTGTACTCACTTATCAGACAAAATCGCGAAAGGGCCCCGAATGAGTATCCGGGGCCGTCAGGTATTATGGATGTCCACGGTAATCACTTAACAAACAGTCATACGAATCATAATCGTCGTCATAAGAATTTATACTTTAAATAAATAATCGAATACGATACGCATATATAAAACGATACGGTACCTTTTTTCTTAACACAACAACAACTATACAAAGCATTATATTATAAATAAACAAAACAACAATTATCTCATGCATAATACGTCCAAAAAGTCAGCGTATATGATGGTTTTGTGAACTGTTCAAAAAATGAAGTTTCATTGTTTGATTCTTTGCCAATACTATTAATCTTTCATTACCTTCGATGATGTTGTATATATAATGTGTATTTTGTACGTTATCTCTGTATTTATTTATATCAACAAACAATCAGATCTTAACAATTACATGCAATTGCATAATAATAACTATGGATAGAATAAACTTATTATTTAACCTTAAATTTATTACGTAATGGCTATGAAGAAAGGTGTCCCACAAGTTTTTATGCAATCACTATTCGCGGGAGTTATGACAAAATCAAACATTATCCATTGTTGATTTTGCCTCCTAATTAAAAATCAAATATTTATAAATATTTAATTATCCACTAAAAGACGTTATGGAGTGATGATCATGCATAAATATTTAGAAAACACACCTCTTCAATAAAGCGTACGAGTTGAGAGTAAATAATAAGAGAAAGCATTAACGCGATACGAGTGTTTGCAAATCAAATGTACGAAACTACCACAATTGATATATTATATAAACAGTCCGTGCAACTGAATAAGCACTAAGTTGATTAAAATGTTATGTAAAGTTTTTTTAGTTGTACACTTAACTAGTAAACACACGCGACTTCGTCTGCGTCGCTTATTATATTTAAAATGTATTTTATCTAAGGAGGCAAGAAAGTACAAACTGAACACGTAGCGCTTATAAAAATCGTATTTAATGAAGATACTACAATTTCATAAAAAAAATAAAACTTAGAAGAATTTATTGAAATCCATCAAGTAGTTTTTCCTTGATGCGCGCACAACGACATACCTCGACCATTTTATTTACATAGAAATAAAATATTAAAAAGGTTCATAAACAAAAATTGCTCAATATGATTATGTAATATGTCATCTAATTCATAATGTAAATTTAATTACAAGGGCTCACAACTAACAACGATTGCTAAGTGGTCGTTATTTAAGAATTTATAATTTATATAGCCGTAATTATGTTTCGGAAAGTTCAGATTTGAAATATTTGATCGGGCGAAGCCAGGGCGAGCAACTGTTTTTAGATAAAAGCACGTACCGCGCAATGCGCACGGCATAATTTAAACGTTGTAAACATAACAGCTCGCAGCTTCGGAGAGTTTAAGAGCGACCTCGCGACAAATAACTGAGAAGGTTCGAGTGCATAAACCACATATGTGGGCTTCCATTCGGCGTAATTGCGCTAATTATGTTTATATGCGCATATAGAGGCATGCACGGCGGGAGGGGACATGGCAAAAAGTATTGGCGCAAGCGCGCCAAAATTACGCGTTGTTTTGTTTTTATTTTTTAAATTTTTATAGTACTAATCGCTGCACTTAGGATGAAACATAAAAATTTGGAGAAAAAATAGCAATGGCAACTTCTCTCGTTGAAATTGTCGTTTTAAAACGATATTTGATATTGTTTTTGTGCTGTAAAGGCGCCAAGCGTTGCTTAAAATGCGACAAAACAATGTAGATAAAATACGTTGAGGTTTTAGTCGGTGTGCCAGGCGGCCATTTAGTTTAATCGTTAAAGCGTCTGCGCCCGAAATCCGCAAGTCGTGAGTTCGAGTCCCGCAGCGGCAAAAACTTTTCGTCCATTTTTTCTAGAAATTTATCATTTTTTTATTTAAACAATATATCAAATTAATTAAGCGGTTTAACTGATCTCACGACGCCACGGTTGTTGGAGTTGTATTCTCAAACATTGTGAGGTTCATCTCACACAGCGGACGAAATGCAAAATGACAAAAGCTACAACACACCGATCTTGTTTTTATGTGAAAGGTTGGCGATCAAACCTTTAGGTAGTTAACCTAATCTTAAGTCATTACCGCCGCCCATACACATCAACAGCATTTCAGCAGTGTTGCATATGTGTTGCCAAGCTTTCAAAGCAACGAGTCCCGGTAATCTCACTCACCAGACCAAAGTAAAATTATAATATGTATGTACGTTTGTACGTACGATTTGATTTATGTTTTGTGTATTTCACTAATAAAGCCGCTTTTAATTCAATATACTCTAAGAAAATCATTAAAAATCCCAGCGCCGGCATTAATTAAATTGATATTTGCAGTTTTAAATGCTGACCCATCACGTGCTCAGCGATAAAGGAAAACGTCGTGAGGAATCCTGCACATTTTTGAAATAATAATAAAATATGTATATCGTAGATATGTTAAGTCTGCCAATCCCAAGTGTAGGCACGTGGTTAACTTGGCTACTTACATTATTTTAATTTGACTGCTAGTAAATGAGTTATCTTTTTAAATTAATTCCAAATAACGAATACATAGAGCTCTTTGCAAGTT